GGGTGGATTGACAGTTCAGAGCTAAGATGCTTTGGCGGGTGAAATGGCAACTTTATGACATTTTAATGATGTCGACATTTATGACAGTTGGCTTGAAGATTTTGCAATGGTTTGACAGTTGGCCTTTTTGCCGCAAATTGAAAGGGATCCAAATCGAATTTCCCGATTCTCTCCTGACAAATGCAGCAGAAGCAAAATTGAAATGCAAACTACCAAGCCCACTGCAATCCTCTTACTTCTACCAAAGCTTGGAAATTAATTTTGCCATGTTTTCACCATACAGTAGCACAGTTGCACAGTGCCACAGACAGGGCCAAGCACAAGCACATGGCCTGTTGATTTGTCACCGAATTGGTATGAGTGTATGGGGTTAGGGGTCACACTGGGAGAGTGCCAGCACAATATTGTGACATAAATCAATCACTCTCACCACAAGCAACGGCCAGGCCTGACATTTATTAAAATCCCATGTATCCGTACGCCAATCAGAATAAGTCGTACTCGTGTTTCATGACTGCTCTCAGATGCTACTGGATTCTGATTTGATTTATTTTTCTATATACATATACTCCTATGTATGCGGTTAATTGAACATTTTTTGAAATTTAATCCGAGTAAGATATCTCTTGGAATTCTCAGAAAATATAAACAAAAAATCGCTATGAACGATTTGGGCAATATTGCGACTATTAAGTACCTGCAAATAGGGAAATGTTAATATGTGCTCAGTATGTACATAAGTATGTACATGTGTCAAGACGATAATCTAGGAGTCCTGTAATTTTCATGATCCACTCGGATTCAAGAAGTCGTGTGAAGAAGGCTTGAACTTAATTGTATGGTTTTTCTGTAACGACATACATTTTACACGAATGCAGCATACCCACGTGCCAATACAGTACCGCGTATAATAAATACGAACAGACTACAAAAGAAATTCTGCCAGATGCACAAGCAGGAGTTTGTCTGTCGTCACGACTAGAACTTGGACAAAACTTTGCACACATAACAAACAAGTTTGGATCGAGTACATTGTATATAGAGAACAACAGTTCAAGAACAACAATCATTTCTACAAATGACACTGACTATGCAAATAAGGCCAGGAATTCATTTTTAGCGAAGAAAAACGATGGGTTGCATTTGTAGAAATTTTTGCAACGTACTCGTATTGAACAAATTTTAAATAATTGTATTCAATGTGCACATGTATTGCATGTATAAATAATCCCACCCAAAATTTAGTCGTGCTGATTCAATCTTTATTTATGTGTGTTAATGAAAACTGGCACTCAGATAATAAATAGTTAGTTAAACTAATTCTTGAATAAGTTCAAGAACTTTAGGCTTTTTCCGTATTTAAGAAGGCCGAAGATAGCCCTAGGAAACTTCTTGGTGGCTGTTACAGTCGAGGGCCAAAGACAGAACTGTCTTCGACAGTAAAAGAAATAAGTCGTTCTCAACTGGCCATATCCGCTTGGAGCTGTTGTACCTTCTAATTGTGGTGCGGCATGCACCAAATAAGAGACTATGCAGTAGAGAGAAAAAAGTTTCACTTCTTTTGCATTTTTCGGCCCTGTCCTGGCCTTGTGCTGCCATACAAGGAAATAATTATTTTATTCGACGGAATAACGGCACTGGAAATAATTATTTCTGCTTTGCAGTGAAACAAAAATTAATTGTACAACTTTGGCCATAAATAAAGCCACAAATAATGTGGCACGATAAGGGCAGAAAAAAGGTCATCAGAAAGGTAACTCTAAACTCAACTTTGCACGAAATTTCCATTTTCGTTTGGCCTCCATTATTTATGCTTTTCGGGACAAAATACAACACGGAGACAAAGTGCCAAACAAAATGTTAACTTTAAACTTGTTACCCGAAACTCGAAGGTAAGTATGAATTGCATTTTAAACACATGCTGCCTGCACTTTGGTTCTTGGCTAAAAACTTCAACTTGGAAAAATGTATCTCTAAATTTCATAAAAAATAAACTAAATACAAATTCGTTCAGTTGCGTCTTGAGGCTACACCAGCGCTTCCAAGCAGCACATTCATCTCCTGGGTGGATTTTCAGACTTCTTCAGTTACATCTCACTTCAGTACGGAATGGACTTGGAATTGAACTGCTCCTCGTGGTCGGTGAATTGGCTATATACAGGCAGCTCTTAATGATCTTCCGAATGCGTGGCTCTTCCTTCCCCGTCGTCAGAGGCAGTTCGATAATTATCGAATTAATTAGAATTATCGAATTATCTGTTCATAATCGACGATCCATACAGCCTTTGCCCAGCTGGTATGCTGCCTTAATGTCAACTAACTCCAGCTGCGACCCCTTGCAGTGGTTTATGAAGGCTTCGTAGACATCCGGCTGATCCTGGTAGTTTTTTATTAGAGACCAGCACAGGGACAATAAGGCAGAGAAGGCCATGTTTAACTCACAGCTGGCGCTCCCCTGTAGGAACGCGGATGGGGAATCATATAGACCCCGCTGTTTGTCGTTGGTCAGGATGCTCATAATTCTGAAGAGTTAATGACACCTTTCTAGAGCCCTCTTCCGTTCGGAGCAACTTGATTCGGGTGTTCGTTTATGATCAGCCGAACAATCGCCACCAATCACCGTACACAGACATAGAATAAGGATTGGACTAACTGCGCAAGAAAAATTCTGAAAATTTAACAAAAATTAAAATAGCTAGCCCCGATTTAGAGAAACATTCCCATCACTCGAGAGTTGAGTCAAAGCCAAGCTTCTCGCCAATGCGCACGAGCTCAAGACAATTTTTGCCTTCAGCTCATGAACTCATATGAATCGTATGGTATATAAATTTGCAAACTTTGGCCCCAAGTTTAGCCGGGAGAAGACCACATAAAGTTAAATTAATGCTCGGTCTGTGGCTACGTCCCCCTCCCATCCCATCCACACTCTCTTAGCCAGCCTCCTGTCTGAGTTTGTCGTTTTCAATTACACTTAAACTTTAAGCGTTTTTCGTTTTTTGATTCTCTAGAATACCCCTAACCTTACCCCTGCCCCTACCTCTCTCACTCTCGCTTATATATCTCTTCAAAATCATCAACTTTGCCCGAGTGGTTCATAATTTTATTAAGCAACGTTTTGAGTTGCGTAGTGCCAGGTCCTGGTGAGATTCATGCCACGTGCTGCAAGTAGTTATACCTGCTGCTCAAAGGATACTCGCACAAGGGTATACTGTATTCGTGTCTATGCATGTAACAACAATAAATCACAGTCGATATAAAAAAGATAAACAATACCTCGGGATTAATGTTTTTCGATACAGTGATATATTGGACATACTATATTTTCTTCTACTCAGTACCAGGTATTGTCAAGACGCCTGTAGCACTCTGTGGCGTATATATTTAGCATCAACTTTGGACAGGGCCAGGCAACGGTCCTCCATCTGTTACATGTAGCACTATCTGCCTGTCCGTTAGTCTGTGGACCCTGTTTTCACATCATTTGAAACGTGGCCGGCATTCAAATGGGGCGCATTACCTTCTCCTTTCGTCTCTTGGGCAGCTTAATGCGAAAAGTTGAATATTTCTTTGGCCGGCTTTAGTTCATCTTCTGGTTAATTTAGTTCGCAGACCAGAACTCAACAAACAAACGATTTATCAAGATACGTGTTAGTTTAGCCCTCTTTTCTGGCTTTATTTTTTGGGGACGACTGTTCGTTCCCATTGCATTCGTAAACGGTTTTTAATTCGAATGGAATTCGGTAAAGCTACGTAATCCACTTAGTTGCTGACTTATCCTGAAGTTGTTTGACTCAAATCAATTTCAGCTTCATCAGACGCTTTGGTGCCAGAACGAACAGAGCCGTTTGTGAATCGGTTAATGCTGCGGTTGCGACTAGTCAAGTTTTTCCATGCCAATCCTCAGATTTCGGGTTAACAGATAATGGGCTCTAATGGGCTAAAGGTCTTTGTCTACTCAATAATACATAACATTTATTATTCGCCTTTCAACGACCTATTGTCTGAATGTTGTGGTGATTGATTGATTCGCTGACTATTTTTTTACGGTTCTCTTGAATATCAACGTCAAATATGACAGGCAGGCATTGTGCAAGCATTTTTACAATTTGCATGCAAATATGCTCTTATTCATGATATGAGCACTTTTTTTGTCGTACGTCCCTTTTTGGCCTTGCAAATATTTACATTTGTCGAGCAGCCAAGGCAGTGCTCTGCACGATTCTGCCAGCGTTCTATGCGAGTAGGAGTATATTGACAATTCCTCAGTTCTTTAGCAAAAGGAACATAACAAGCGTAATAATAAAGAAAAATATCGGATGCACAGCACAATGCAATAAATGATAACTGTATGCAAAGAATGCGCAATATGAGAGACCGCTCCCCCAAAAAGGACACAGAAAAACGAAAATGTATTTCAAGGAAGGCACAGAATCGAGCACCTGTTAGCCAGAGGATGGCAATCGTAGGCAAAATGATTTATGCAGACTGAATTGTCTGAAATATCATCTTTTAGGTCGAGTCATTGCTTTCTTTCCCTTTTAAAGTCAATTTCAACACACAAAAATCAAAGAAGGTTGTGATTAGTTCTGGGACTGCACTCGACAAACGATTCGAAGACGGACACACTAACTACGTAAGTCAGCTCTAAACATGCACACCAGCAAAAAGTAAAAGACTCGCACCCAGACCACAGGCCACAAACTGGCCTCAAGTTAAACAACCACAGAAATCCACACACACGAAAATTGGGCCAGGACGGACTCAATCGCAATGTGAATGAACGGCAGGAGATTTCGTTAAAAGCGGATGGCTCGAAAAAATAATGCGAACAGAGAGAAAAGAAAAAGAAAATAAAATCTAAAGTGAACTAGAAAAACGTGACCAGAAAGAGGAAAGGGCAAAATCATTTGAAAATGGAAGAGGTGCAAAAAAAAAGTGAAGCTAAAGGAAAGACAGAAGTGGTAATTCAGAATGAGGCTCGACGTGTTTAGGCGCTGGTAATGGACATTGGCGGTGAAAATGTCACAGGAGATGAGTGTGTGGCAGCAGCAGCATGGGAGAATGGCAGCATAGGCGTTAGGATGCCATCGAAAGCTGTTTATCCACTGCCTGTCAAGGCGTAACACGCTGTCCTCTCCTGGTTGCTGGCCAGGTGACTGTCGCTATCCTACAGCCGCAGAAAAAGCCAGTTAGTTGGCAATGACATCTGCAGCAGTGTGCAGTGTGTGCTCAGAACATGTGCAAGTCGCTCATTCGGAGCGCCACTTGGCCAACTGTTGAGGGAGACGGACAAGCCGAGGCCCGGTGCCCAAGGGCTTTGTTCTGGACAAATAGGCCGCCTGTCATTTGTGAATGTCGGACCGGCAGAAGCCCGCATCTGACCTAATTGCCTGGGGCTAGAAACGAGCACACATTGCTTTATGTTCAATTGGGGGGTTCTCTGCTTTTGTGAAGACTTGCCTAGCGCCTCGGAGAATGCGATGACATTTGTTCCTGGGTCACAGTCAACAGGGAATGATGCATTGAAGAGCCTAGTTAAGGGTCTAGCCATCTCATAAACATATACCAAGCGTGATCATAGTTCGGCTGTTAAGCTTAGCCGTCAAATAAAGAGACTGAAAAACAGGTAATAAGTAAAAACCAATCGGCATTTAACTGGTGCGAAATTGAAACAAGCTGCGGCTATGTGTTTCTTTTATGGGAGTGTGTACATGCGTCTGTGTCTGTGTGTGTGTGGGTGTGCACGAAAAAGGGAATTTCCATTGCAGTTGTTGTGCCGCTTACATATTTTCTGGCTTGTTTTCGTAGCGCTTCTTAAGCGCTGTTATTTATTTTTCACAATGCGCATACGCCGCGTATGCCAGCGTAGTAATGCAGCAACAAGCAGCGTGCCTCGTACTGCTCGATGTACCATATTATTTTGTCTGCTCGCATTTTTTTTTTCTTCCTTTTTTTGTAATTTTTCCATTTCTCCCTTTATTTGTTTCATTTTGCGTGAAATACACCACTCCCAACGAATCCCCTCCCTTGTGCTGTTCTGCCCGACCATATCGCTGCCATGCCTCTTGATGTACGGCTTGGGCAATATCAGCATTTTATTCTGTGCTTTCGTCAGTTTCCGCTGTTACTGCTCCTACCCTGCCGCTGCTACCACACTCCATGGCTACGGCGACGGCGACGGCGACGACGATGGCGGCGGCAGCGGCAGCGGCGGCGGTGGCATCCGCCATCATCATCATTGCTGGCATTTTGTGCGCACTGACCCGCTTTTTGCGCTTTTCCCATTACATTCGGTTTGCCATTTCTTCCCCTCTGACTCTCTCCCCGCCCTCTCCTCTCGCTTACTTATTTATAGTATAACTGTTTCATTGTTGGCTCGCGGGCATGAACTATCTGCCATTCGTTCTATGTCCAAGCTCCGCATGTGTCCGTGTGTGTGCCTGTATGTAGCTGTGTTTTCTACTGGATGCACCAAATCAGTTTTGCCATGTAGTTTTCATGTTAAACGCGCTCAAAATTAATGGTCACACATACGAACATGCCGCACACACACACATACGCACGCACACACACAGCCGTTGGGTTTCTGAAATAGAAACGAATGTTATCGTTACAAATGTCCTTTCCGCTGCCTGTCAGCATGACTGTAGTTCGCGGGCTGAACCCACACCCCAAACCCTCCTCAGCTAAGAGACACATTCACATTGTACCCTAGTAAAGGGTGTTACGATTTTGACCACATACTTGAAACACAGATAAGTTGCATATTAGCCATTTAAAATGTTTGCGGTGTATTGCAAGGAACTTATGAATAAGCAGAGCAAAATCAATATTTGTTAAGGGCAAAATTGATTACTTTAAAGTAAACGAGAAGGGACGTGTTAGACGCTTCCTACGCGTCACAACTTGTATACCCGGCATTCAGTACTACTTCTGCACCTTAGCGGTGTTTTGTCAAATTTAACATTTTTTCTTCATCTGTCATATACATCTACAATACTTCTCACACCAACACGCTCCTTTAGCTCGCCCCCCTTCCCTAGACCCACACACTGCAGACTCGCGGCAGAGGCAGAGGCCGAGTGAAGCAGAAACAGAGTGTGAATAATGTTCCAATCGGATCCCAATTTGGTGATCTGGTAGATATGGGCATTCCCTACGGAATGGCGTTCTTAGTTTTATTTAATTTTTGAAGTACACTGTTTTCAGTGTGAGCATACAGCAGTCTGGAGCCAAAATTTAGTGGCTCTAGCTCTCATAGTCTCTGAGAACCAGCCGACAAACAAGACGGACAGACGGACATGGCTCAATCGACTCTGCTATTGATGCTGATCAAGACTATATATACTTTATGGGGTTGGAAAAGTTTCCTTCTGTGCGTTACATACAACCGTTATTCACACAAATACAATATACCCTATGTATGCCTTTAGAGAGCGGATCAGACAACTGTCCATTATGCTGATCTTTAGTCACCATTCACACCATTATCTCTCTTCGAGAGTGGAACAATACAACATGGCAAAGTCAAGCTATATTTACATATATTTTTTAAGATATTCTAAATAAAATCCATTTTTTTTAACCTATTTTGTAAAAAAACTTGGAAGGGTATTATGTGACTCGGGTGTCATGAAACACCATCCTGTGTAGTTGTCGGCTCTGTCGCTTACCATTTGGAGTTTTGTGAACACCAACGAGCACCGGACCCACACACAAACTCGAACTCAAACCCAGCGTGCATTTAATATTTGCTTGCAGCTAAATCAAATTGTTTTTCTGCTTCATTTTTTACTTGTATTTGCTTCGGGTGCACAGCGTTTAACATTTTTTTTCTCTCTTCTGTTTTAGTTTCACTTTATATTTCACTTCCAGTCTCTTTTTTGGTAACATGCGCATAAAATATGTAAGATAAATGTTAGTAAATGTCATTTTTAGGAGCCCTAATGTGCCACAACAATTTACCTCGAGGTCCTCATACCCTTTTTCCATTAATAGCCGCAGGATTTGTGCTTTTTGCACTGCCAGATATAATAAGCACTAAATACCTCTCGCCCAACACCACAGTCCTTTTTTGTTTATTTCTTTTTTTCACATCTCAGATAGGGAGTGACTTTTATATTTATTGTTCAGCGCTTATATCACTGGCACGAGTTCTTAAAAATATTTATGATGTGAGGATTCTTAAAGTCATTTAAATAATTATCAGCGGACGCAAGTCGTCTTGAGTCTTCTTGACAGATTTAATATACAGTAAAAGCCCAACATTTGACAATTTATCGAGGAGCTGGGTATGCTATGTTGTGCACATTACCGCAACGGATTTAGATTTTCCACAATTTTAAATTATCTTCTGGTCGATCGGAACATCGATCACGCTCTGAGTAGCAAGCACCTCAAGTGGCCCATAAATCAAGCACTCTAGCCGATATCAAAGGAATGCACTGTCCCGATGAATTCATCGGATTAGGCTCTCTAATTCGAGTAATTAACCACTCATCTAATCATCATTGTGAGTTCGTAGCAATAGTCTCCCATCGTACTGCCCACAATCAGCCAGAACGTCTAGCTCGTCTCCCATTAATCAGCCGGCGTGCTGTCCCACACGCAGAGAATAAATGAATCGAAGAAAGCCGATAAGATCAAGTCGCAAATCACTCCCCACGAAGCCAATGCCGACCCCCTATATAAAAGCGGTGCAAATCTCAATGCACTCAGAGTGCTTTTTGGATTCCACCTAGCATCAACATGTTCCTGAAAAACTCCCTCGTTTGTATCGCCTTCCTGGCGATCGCCAACGCTCAGTTCAACACCAACTCTTCGAGTGGAAGTGGGACGACATCGCCGCCGAGTGCGAGAACTTCCTGGGCCCAAAGGGCTACGCCGGTATTCAGGTGAGATCCGTTCTCCGATTTTCAGAAATCCTCATTCACTCATATTTTGCTCAGGTGTCGCCCGTGAACGAGAACGCCGTGAAGGATGGACGCCCGTGGTGGGAGCGCTACCAGCCCATCTCATACAAGCTGACCACCCGTTCTGGCAACGAGCAGCAGTTCGCCAGCATGGTCAGGCGTTGCAACAACGTCGGAGTGCGCACCTACGTGGACGTCGTCTTCAACCATATGTCAGCTGATGGTGGCACCTACGGAACCGGCGGCAGCACCGCCAGCCCCAGCACCAAAAGCTACCCTGCAGTGCCCTTCTCTTCTCTGGACTTCAACCCCACCTGCGGCATCTCGAACTACAACGACGCCAACCAGGTTCGCAACTGCGAGCTGGTGGGTCTGCGTGACCTGAACCAGGGCAACTCCTATGTCCGGGACAAGGTTGTGGAATTCTTNCATCCTGCATAGCGAACTCATATCTAATCTAGGGGTCGATAACTGCCGATAGACCCCCCAAGCCGCTACCGGTGAGGAGAAGGGCACCCCACGGCAAGCGGTCCGATAAGATCTCAATTTGAATCGCAAATCACTCACCCAGCAAAACAACAAGCCGATGACGCCGATCAACTTTTTCCAGGCACTCCAGACACCTTATAAAAGGCGCAGCAACGACCGGGTTGGTCTCAGAGTGCTTCTTGGATTCCACCTAGCATCAACATGTTCCTGAAAAACTCCCTCGTTTGTATCGCCTTCCTGGCGATCGCCAACGCTCAGTTCAACACCAACTCTTCGAGTGGAAGTGGGACGACATCGCCGCCGAGTGCGAGAACTTCCTGGGCCCAAAGGGCTACGCCGGTATTCAGGTGAGATCCGTTCTCCGATTTTCAGAAATCCTCATTCACTCATATTTTGCTCAGGTGTCGCCCGTGAACGAGAACGCCGTGAAGGATGGACGCCCGTGGTGGGAGCGCTACCAGCCCATCTCATACAAGCTGACCACCCGTTCTGGCAACGAGCAGCAGTTCGCCAGCATGGTCAGGCGTTGCAACAACGTCGGAGTGCGCACCTACGTGGACGTCGTCTTCAACCATATGTCAGCTGATGGTGGCACCTACGGAACCGGCGGCAGCACCGCCAGCCCCAGCACCAAAAGCTACCCTGCAGTGCCCTTCTCTTCTCTGGACTTCAACCCCACCTGCGGCATCTCGAACTACAACGACGCCAACCAGGTTCGCAACTGCGAGCTGGTGGGTCTGCGTGACCTGAACCAGGGCAACTCCTATGTCCGGGACAAGGTTGTGGAATTCTTGGACCATTTGATCGATCTTGGTGTGGCTGGATTCCGCGTGGACGCTGCCAAGCACATGTGGCCCGCAGATCTGGGTGTCATCTATGGGCGCCTTAAGAATCTGAACACCGGTCACGGCTTCGCGTCCGGATCCAAGGCCTACATCGTGCAGGAGGTCATCGACATGGGTGGCGAGGCCATCAGTAAGAGCGAGTACACTGGCCTGGGCGCCGTCACCGAGTTCCGTCACTCCGACTCAATCGGCAAGTGCTTCCGCGGCAAGGATAAGCTGACTTACATGTCCAACTGGGGCACCGGCTGGGGCTTTGCTGCCTCCGATCGCTCGCTCGTCTTCGTAGACAACCACGACAACCAGCGCGGACACGGTGCAGGTGGGGCTGATGTGCTCACTTACAAGGTGCCCAAGCAGTACAAGATGGCCTCCGCCTTCATGTTGGCCCATCCCTTCGGCACTCCCCGGGTCATGTCCTCCTTCTCCTTCGACGACACTGACCAGGGTCCACCCACCACTGACGGACAAAACATTGCTTCTCCCACCTTCAACAGCGACAAGTCCTGCGGCGGCGGATGGGTGTGCGAGCACCGCTGGCGCCAGATCTACAACATGGTCGCCTTCAGAAACGCCGCCGCCGATGCGGCACTCCAGAACTGGTGGTCCAACGGAAGCAACCAGGTCGCCTTCAGCCGTGGCAACAGGGCTTTCGTGGCCTTCAACAACGACAACTACGATCTTAACAGCTCCCTGCAGACGGGTCTGCCCGGCGGCACCTACTGCGACGTCATCTCCGGCGAGAAGAGCGGCTCCTCCTGCACAGGCAAGAGCGTCACCGTTGGTTCCGATGGACGCGCCAACATCAACATTAGCAGCTCCGCTGCCGATGGTGTCGTGGCCATCCACGTCAACGCCAAGTTGTAAAGGACACAGACTCAGTGCTTGTTAAACTCAAAACCCAAGCACCCAAAATCGAGATTATTATTATTAAATACACAATGATATTATGCAATACTCGTTCACTGTGAGTTGGAATGCGTTGGGAAGTGATAAAAGGTTAGGCTAGGCATGCCAAAAGGTAATTTCTCAAGACGGTCGGTCAGAGCTGTCCCTACTTTAGTGCGCCAACTAGTTGAGGTGATTCTGCTGTGAAGCGTCCATTCAATCCAGAAGGGACGAGCAGTGCAAAGTGTGGAAATTAATTAAATTCTAGACAACAAAGGAACGAGATGGGTCACTGCGGATAAGAGGCGGTGCAGATGACAAGTACAGGTGAAAGGCTTTATAAAGTGAGCAGTACGAGTAATGTGTGTCAAACGTGGTCCTTCACGCACAGTGGCACTTCACGACAATTCCACATATTCCGATCCCCCCGCACGAAATAATAGATATCGCAGAGCATTATTCTGGTAGTTTGTTTGTCAGTTTGTCAGATATCTGGCACTCTGGTCGGTCCTCTTGCAGTGTGTTCTTATTTGTGCTCATCGCATGAGCAAATTTTTGTCTTTCTGTGTGGGTTCAGAATGCAGGAGTTGGAATCGGATGCGAGTGCGGATGAGGGGGACTGGCAGGGGAAAATAGTAGCATGCACTTAAATCTGTTCAACAAATATACCCCGAAGAGCATCTGCATCTGCAGACGGACATTGCCTCTCATACTCCTGTTTGCTGAAACAGTTTCCCATGCCAAGTCGATGCTCAATTCGGTTTCATAAAAATATGCACTCATAACTTTCGACCATGGCCCGACTTGATATGAATAAATGTGAGCAACATATCAGAGGATTTTCATGTCATTTACTGGGGGTCAAGAGAGAGTCCGAGTCCGCACACGAGCTGGGCCACACACAATGCAGCAGTACAGAAATACAGATGAGCAGGAGTCAGAGTTAGACCCGCTCTAAGGATGTGGGACCTGCATTCAGGGAGGAACGTAGGGTTCATGCTCCAACTTCCGAGTACTTACCGTCTGCTGCTCGGTCGTTTGCAGATTGCGTATTGTAAATATATTCAAAACATCGCATAATTCTTAATAAAGTCGTAAAATTGCAAAGTAAATCACTTTTCTAAGTGAACGCAGCGCAGATAAACTCGACTTTTTATTACGCAAACACAATTTTCATATGCTCCACGGATTTAGAGTGTGGAATTGAGTGTGTGGGGCACTTGCTTTACCTTCGACAAGGGTATAATGTTTTGTTTGGTTGGTTTGGTGGCCGCCAATCCAAACCAAATCCGTCAGTTGTAGGTATACTATAATTTTCCATGGATCAAGAGCTGAATATTATTTGAATCTGAGTCGAGGGTACTTGAATCTACGAGCACCTAAGCAAGCCTTCCGTTCTTCCTTTTGCTCTGCCTGACAACTATTCGTGCCGCATGTGTACATACAAGAACGAGTTTGTGTGTGTGTGTGGTGTGAGTGTGGGTAAGTCTGCCAAGAAGGAAAATCCATCTACATAAAGGGCAGAAAATCAGAGTTCGCATCAAAAATGATATGTAGATACTCGTACACATAGATACGCACAGACACAGACACAGACACGAACGCAAAACGAGCTGAAAGTCAAAGCTGAACATGTCTAGATTGCGGTTGCACGGGCTCCTCTGTGACTCTGTGACTGAAATGGGGTTGCTGCCTGCTGGCTGCTGCTTGTGGGTGTGGGTGTGGGTGTGGGTGTGACTGAGGCTGAGACCAAGGTGGACCGGGATGGACCGGAAGTGGAGAAACGAGCTAAGCTGCCTCTCGCTTCTCTGGTGCACAAAAATTAATTTAAATCTGCTGACAAAGGAAACCATTCTTGTATTTATGCAAAACATCAAAATGAAACCACACAAGCAGTCACACGGCGTTTGTTCTCGGTATTTTTGCGGCTCCTGCGCGTCTTCCTCCGCGAGGGATGATTTAGGACATTGTTCGGGCATGGGGCTGACACACGTGCCAGAATGCGGGGCTGCGAAGACTTTGGAAGGGCACTATGCAGGCCGAGCAACTGTTGGAAGTGCCTCATTGGACTCTGACGGAAGCACGACAAAAATAATTCCATCTCTCTGATCGGCCTGTAATCAACCATTTGAAAGATTCTTTAAGCGCTTTACGGAACTCCGTTGGGATGCCCCAAGCCTCAACCCACTGTAAGTTTTTATTTTGAAAGTTGCCACAAACTGTCTGTCTGGACTGTCATGTATTAGCGAGCACTGCAAGCATATGTTTTCAATTTTCGCTCAGTGGCAGTGGGAATGGGAGTGGGGTGGCGCTCTTCTTCTACCCCTTGCCGGTAAACATGTTCTGACAGCCTGTCAAACAAGTTTCAAAGCTGACTCTTAAATATTAATGCCACATGGGATATGGAGGCTTTCTTCCACCCACAGACCGCATCGGTAGCAGGCACTGCCAAGCAGCTCTGCGGCGGAGAGCAAAGCCAAAGACAGGTGTCTGACGGTGGTGTAATCACGGGAGTTCCATTTACAGCTCCGACAGGATATCCTGGAAAGTGATCTAGCCGAGTTGCATGAAGGATTGAGGCGATTGCCATGAGGTGTGTGTTTTGTTTTGCAATAATATCATTGTGTATTTAATAATAATAATCTCGATTTTGAGTGCTTGGGTTTTGAGTTTAACAAGCACTGAGTCTGTGTCCTTTACAACTTGGCGTTGACGTGGATGGCCACGACACCATCGGCAGCGGAGCTGCTAATGTTGATGTTGGCGCGTCCATCGGAACCAACGGTGACGCTCTTGCCTGTGCAGGAGGAGCCGCTCTTCTCGCCGGAGATGACGTCGCAGTAGGTGCCGCCGGGCAGACCCGTCTGCAGGGAGCTGTTAAGATCGTAGTTGTCGTTGTTGAAGGCCACGAAAGCCCTGTTGCCACGGCTGAAGGCGACCTGGTTGCTTCCGTTGGACCACCAGTTCTGGAGTGCCGCATCGGCGGCGGCGTTTCTGAAGGCGACCATGTTGTAGATCTGGCGCCAGCGGTGCTCGCACACCCATCCGCCGCCGCAGGACTTGTCGCTGTTGAAGGTGGGAGAAGCAATGTTTTGTCCGTCAGTGGTGGGTGGACCCTGGTCAGTGTCGTCGAAGGAGAAGGAGGACATGACCCGGGGAGTGCCGAAGGGATGGGCCAACATGAAGGCGGAGGCCATCTTGTACTGCTTGGGCACCTTGTAAGTGAGCACATCAGCCCCACCTGCACCGTGTCCGCGCTGGTTGTCGTGGTTGTCTACGAAGACGAGCGAGCGATCGGAGGCAGCAAAGCCCCAGCCGGTGCCCCAGTTGGACATGTAAGTCAGCTTATCCTTGCCGCGGAAGCACTTGCCGATTGAGTCGGAGTGACGGAACTCGGTGACGGCGCCCAGGCCAGTGTACTCGCTCTTACTGATGGCCTCGCCACCCATGTCGATGACCTCCTGCACGATGTAGGCCTTGGATCCGGACGCGAAGCCGTGACCGGTGTTCAGATTCTTAAGGCGCCCATAGATGACACCCAGATCTGCGGGCCACATGTGCTTGGCAGCGTCCACGCGGAATCCAGCCACACCAAGATCGATCAAATGGTCCAAGAATTCCACAACCTTGTCCCGGACATAGGAGTTGCCCTGGTTCAGGTCACGCAGACCCACCAGCTCGCAGTTGCGAACCTGGTTGGCGTCGTTGTAGTTCGAGATGCCGCAGGTGGGGTTGAAGTCCAGAGAAGAGAAGGGCACTGCAGGGTAGCTTTTGGTGCTGGGGCTGGCGGTGCTGCCGCCGGTTCCGTAGGTGCCACCATCAGCTGACATATGGTTGAAGACGACGTCCACGTAGGTGCGCACTCCGACGTTGTTGCAACGCCTGACCATGCTGGCGAACTGCTGCTCGTTGCCAGAACGGGTGGTCAGCTTGTATGAGATGGGCTGGTAGCGCTCCCACCACGGGCGTCCATCCTTCACGGCGTTCTCGTTCACGGGCGACACCTGAGCAAAATATGAGTGAATGAGGATTTCTGAAAATCGGAGAACGGATCTCACCTGAATACCGGCGTAGCCCTTTGGGCCCAGGAAGTTCTCGCACTCGGCGGCGATGTCGTCCCACTTCCACTCGAAGAGTTGGTGTTGAACTGAGCGTTGGCGATCGCCAGGAAGGCGATACAAACGAGGGAGTTTTTCAGGAACATGTTGATGCTAGGTGGAATCCAAAAAGCACTCTGAGTGCATTGAGATTTGCACCGCTTTTATATAGGGGGTCGGCATTGGCTTCGTGGGGAGTGATTTGCGACTTGATCTTATCGGCTTTCTTCGATTCATTTATTCTCTGCGTGTGNTGCCGCAGGTGGGGTTGAAGTCCAGAGAAGAGAAGGGCACTGCAGGGTAGCTTTTGGTGCTGGGGCTGGCGGTGCTGCCGCCGGTTCCGTAGGTGCCACCATCAGCTGACATATGGTTGAAGACGACGTCCACGTAGGTGCGCACTCCGACGTTGTTGCAACGCCTGACCATGCTGGCGAACTGCTGCTCGTTGCCAGAACGGGTGGTCAGCTTGTATGAGATGGGCTGGTAGCGCTCCCACCACGGGCGTCCATCCTTCACGGCGTTCTCGTTCACGGGCGACACCTGAGCAAAATATGAGTGAATGAGGATTTCTGAAAATCGGAGAACGGATCTCACCTGAATACCGGCGTAGCCCTTTGGGCCCAGGAAGTTCTCGCACTCGGCGGCGATGTCGTCCCACTTCCACTCGAAGAGGTGGACCATACCGCTGCGGCCAGCGGCATAGTTGGTGTTGAACTGGGCGTTGGCGATCGCCAGGATGGCGAGACAAACGAGGGACTTTGTCAGGAACATGTTGATGCTAGGTGGAATCCAAGAAGCACTCTGAGACCAACCCGGTCGTTGCTGCGCCTTTTATAAGGTGTCTGGAGTGCCTGGAAAAAGTTGATCGGCGTCATCGGCTTGTTGTTTTGCTGGGTGAGTGATTTGCGATTCAAATTGAGATCTTATCGGACCGCTTGCCGTGGGGTGCCCTTCTCCTCACCGGTAGCGGCTTGGGGGGTCTATCGGCAGTTATCGACCCCTAGATTAGATATGAGTTCGCTATGCAGGATGCGCTGTCTTTTGGCGGATGGCTGAGATTTAGTCGAAATGGCCATTGCGGAAGTCTATCAGCGGATCGGCCCGATTAGAGCGGATTCCTGTGGAAGTCCATAGACATTGCGGAATTCCGCCGGGGGGTAGGGGGACCAGAGGGTCCACTCGGGCAGCCCGAGCAGAGCATATAAATCGCTGGTGTTAATTCTGCCAGTTTCTGTCTTGATTTACAGCCGCGGGCTGAGATTCCAGACATACGCTCGGTGGGCTTGGGTCGTATATATGGCTTAGTTTTACGATGCTGATCGGAAAAACAGCGAGGGGGCTTATCAGGCCGCACTTTGGTCGCGCAACTCCGCACGGGCGGGTAGAAATATGGGCACCTCCCTCGGTTCGGCCATTTTCGGAGTCGAACGGCCAAAACGCAGTTCGTCCCGAACAATCAAGCGATTGACTCTCCAACTGAAGCCTATTTTTAAAGTCCAGCATTTGCATTGGAATGCAGCCACGCCGATTCCGAGTGTTCGTCGCGTGGCGACAGATTATGAACCCCCCAGTGGCTGTCGAAGGGTGTCCGTGTCTGCAATTGGACGAGCGACTCGCTTGCTAATCTGCCAACTAAGCAACGACCACTCCAAGTGTTTCTCAAGATCCGTTATGGCACTTACATCCACTCGAACCTAATGAGAAAACACGCACCAGTGAGCCGCAGGTGCCAGCAATATATTAATTGGAATTTTTATCTACAAATGCAGCTCATGTCCGTCGAGTGCCCAGGTTGTGCCCACTTGAGGTGGCAAGTAACATACATTTGATAAATATTCAATTAAGCCACATTGAGCACCAACAATTCATTTGCTGCTGTTTTCATTTACCAGTTATGCAGTGCACTCATGAAGATAACTAATTTTTACACCTCTCCCCAAAGTCAAACACGATAGATGACCGAAACAATGGGAGCTTTTGGAGGAGAAGGCAGCTGTACGATACAATTTTGCATCAAATTGTAGAAAACATTTCAGCCGCAGTGCAAAATGTGACACGTGTCTTGTGCAAATTGATTCGAGCTCGAAATTGGATTCAGATTGGGAGAAGGAAAGGGTTGTCGGTTAGTCAAGTTGGTGAACAAATATTTACCTTAAAGTGCATAAACGAGAACCAAGGTCTGAATGCGAGCATTTCCGCACATTACACCTGAAGTTTGGAACTTTTCTGAAACGGACAGACACAGGCATACAGCCACTCACACAGTTACAGGCAGAGGAAAGCAAGAAAGTTGGTATCTCTCTTACATGCCCCGTGTCCTCCTTCTACTTGTCATGCCTGTTCCTGCCTTGAAAGCCAATTTGAATTGTAAGCAAATGCCGGATATGGCAAAGTTCAAAGCGGAAACGTTTGCAGCATTTTCAATGCCAGAATGGCTTTCTCTGCAGCAACAAAATCAGGAGCAGAAGGGCAAGAGCCGTCCAGGGAATGGTCATGGTGCACAAAAGGTGGGCGGGTGTCAGCGTCTGGCATAAGCCAAACTTCCAAGTTGCAATCTATAAATGCAGACGAACTTGCCACCAAGCACAGTTAGCTAAGTCGGCTCAGAACTTTGCACCTGTATATATGTATGTAGATGGCTCCAGAATTTCTGTGCTGGCATACGAGAAAAATTAATTTACATTTAAATTAGATCTATGCCATTTTCGGTATAGAAGATTTGACGTTTGACAAAACAATTGCCTGCCGGCTTCTTGCCAAACATCTATTCGAATGAAATCGAAGCCCTCCGTCTCCATACACCACATACATATTTGCGTAAAGTGTCCTGCATGGGGTATGCAAAATATGCAGACTGTGCGTGCCACGATATGCAAAGCATTTTTGTGGCATGTCGCACCCCGAAGCGAAGAGCAAGAGCTACCATAGCAGGGTCCATGGCAACTGATATAACCAGCAAGGATTACTAACCTCAAGGCTGGAGAGTTTATTACCTGAGCATTGAATGCAAATAAAGTGGATGTCCTGTCTTATTTCACTTTAAGGGAATATTGAAACTTAAACCACAATAAGGTTAAAATAATGATTGAATTCGCTTGGAATTAATTCTGCTGACGCAAGGAGTCAACAAAAAGTTTAGTATGTTAGTTTTTAATTAATAACTCTGCAAAAATTATATTTTCTGATCTTTAACACATGAACCATAAAATTAATAAAATATTGATCAAATTGCATGGGCAAACGAATTACAACGACAAGTCAGAAATTGCCATAAGATACTGTAAGAACAGGCTAACCTTAAAACTTTATTTTAAAAGGCCCACCATTAGAATAAGTAAGTCCCATCAGTAGGCATTAAAATCGCAATGCAGAACTTCGATTTTCGTTTATCAGACAGAGACGTTTGTCCAAAGAAAGTAATAACGTCGTTTCCATTGTCTTTCAGAGTCGTTTCAACCCGATCCCCCCACACCACATCCATATGAGCACTTGCTCAATAATGGCACACCACACATGTAAATATGTATGCAGTATTTATGTATGTGTACACCCCATATGGGGAAAGCTGGATAGGAATGAGTCAAAGAACTGCATCCGCGCACACCGTAAGCGCGATTGCTGGCAAAACACTTAACGGCATCGACATACACAGACTCACCTATACACCGAAGGACCGCTAACGACATCAACGCGTAGCTGCCAGAGTGTGTTTGTGTGCACCGTGTGTGTATGTGGGTGTTGTAAAACGTATGATGTAACTTTGTCACATTATCATTTTGATTGCAATGTGCTAAGCACTCGCCCTCATCCACACATGCCCGCGTGTATGTACATACATACATACTTACACATAAATATATGTATGTACCTATAGCTTCCCTGTCTCTATGCTCCATGAAGCTACATTGTTGAATCAGTGATTCGAATGGATTTCATTGCTTACTTTTAGGCGGGAGAATTTGCTGCATTTTGGCAAACTGCTTAAAGGGAATTACACTGCTCGTATTATTCGAGTTCATAAATTTCGCCAAGACTTACTGGCCCAATAAAATATAATACACTGCCACGACCAGACAACGACAGCGACGACAAAATGACCAACTGAAATGCCGGCACCGAACGCTAATAAAAACCAACTTTGACTCTGACTGCAGCGCTTCCTTTTTAGTGTCGCTCGAAAATAAAACGGAGAATAACGAGGCAGCCGAAAGCGGACGAAGGAGAGCCAGGCTGCAGCCACGCCTCCACACAGTTGCACACACAGTGCAATGTAGTTGAAAATTATGAAAATTATCTACCACGCCATTTTTATGCCAGAAACTTTGCATCTAAATGTCCATAAAAGCGGAAGCGTCGCGACGCCAAATGGCAAAAAAATAAAATGTGAAAAAAATCAACGAAGAAATAGTGGAGAGGCAAAGAAAGAAAGATCAGCCCATGGAACCGAACCTGTGGATACCCTTACATTTTATCGTTTCAATGGTAAATTACTCAGGCTATCAGTTTTGAAGTTTCATCCTATTTACTGCCTCTAGTAGAAATTAAATGTGGAAACCTGAGACTCAAAGCTGACTTTGTGGGATCGGAAATGCATTCCTCCTCTTCAAGGGTATACTAACGGGAATAACTGAAAATAAATGAAAAGAAATGAAAAGAAATGGGGTAGCGCTATGGGGGAGATAAAAGGCCAAGCAACGTGGCTACATGGGTACGTGTGGGCGTGTCATCTGCCGGGCCTCAGACTCCACCTCCGCTCCATCGTCGGCATTGCCACGGGGCTCGCTGCCTGGCAGCCGGCATGTCATCATTATAATAGAAATTAAGTGCAGTCACAGCTCAGTTCCAGTGGCACCAAGAGCAGTCAGTGCTCCGCTCCTCTCCGATCCGGTAATGGGTAATAGAATTAAAATGGCTTGGACGCATGCCACCCAGTCAGAGCACCACGACAAAGGGACAAACAATAGCACCGATTCATTAAGAGGCAGCACAGGACAGCAGACGACGACAACTAGGCAAACTTTGCCTTTGGAAAAGCTTAAAGCCACAATTTAAAAACAGACAATTCGCCATAACCGTGACAATTGCAGTCTGGTCTTGTTCACTGGAGCACTCAAGTGTAAGCAACATGTCATTTGAAATGCTTTCACCGTTCAGGCAATCCAGGAAGTCCATGCAGTCGGGAGTCGGGAGTCGCAGTCAGGATTGGCCACCACAATGCAATATTGCACTTTCAGCACTCAGGCATACGCGCGTAGGGAAAACAAACCATTTGACAGATGATTTCCCACATTTCAGCGGCCATTTTTTCCACTCTCAAAGCCAGATTGCCCAAAATTGTATGCGCAATTTATGCCAACCAAAAAAAACATTTGTGTGTGTCATTAAAATGCAAAGTTTCTGCAAAATATTTAATCAAACAGCATGCAAGAACAGGGAATACTCTTTGAATAATAGAATATAGAACGCAATAAAAAATGGGACAATTTAAATGTAAAACTGGTCTGTTTAGTTTATGCAAAAATAAATATTCTCATGAAAATGGGCTGTTTACTTAAGTTAAAAACTGAATGAAGAGACTTCGATGCAGCCACTTTGAAGATCAAACTAGGTGTCAAATTTGTGTTACCCACCCACAGAAGAGAGGGCATAAACAGTCGCAAAGTACCACACACGTGAAGAGGTGGACCAGGCCAGGCCGCAGCAACCGCAGCAATGAAAGTTGGTTAGCCACACACCTACACACAGAGATCGAATGACCTCCCAAAGGACTCCAACTTCCCATCCGAACTACAATCAAAAATCTCCACATGGCAAACTCAAATGTGAAAACAGCCACGAACCAAACTCCATT